GGTCTGAATACTTTCCGTACCCACTGTATATATATATATAAACACTCTTTTATATATGATATTTTTCTAAATAAATGGATGAATTAAATTTAAATGTAAAATCTGATAAAATACTTAACTATTGTAAGAGGCGCTGTAGACCAAAGGAGGAAACTCCAGTCTCTTGAAAATGGGTCCGTCGAAATAATGCAGGCATACACATAAACTGGATCTTTACTGCCGTTTATTGGTCAGAGCTCAGGAATGAATTCAACACACAGCTCGCATCACATGTATTCCTCCCTCGACAAACTCCCCGCGAATAGCTGTCTCACATGACATCCACTGCGCATGTCATCGCGCCAACCTGTCCATCACGTCACATACATAAAACAAACCAGATTATCCCACTTAATTTTAATTTACACATAAGATAATCAAAATAAATCTCACACTATGTATGTGTTTTAAGTATTGCTTAGATTATTATAGCTACTTTTTAAAGTAATAACTCTCCCTTCTTTAAGGGGAAGTTGTGGCCTAATGGTTGTATGGGTTACCATACTTGGCATCATGTCACTTCTTTGTCTTGTTCTGAACATGAGCAGCAGGGAGGGGGGTGTGTGTTATTGCAAGCCAGAAGCCTGACCGACATATGCCTGGTCGGGCTTCTGATTGTACACTGACACGTCAAAAGCGTGCGATTTGACAGCAAAACGCATGTCCTTGACGTGTGAAAAATTTGACGTGCGTTTATCATAACAGAATATCTAATACGTGTGTTTTGTCCGACTCTACACGTTCATAACGTGTTAACAGGTAAACCAAACAGGCAGTGCAAACGTCTGTCTGAAGTGTCCAAACAGGCGAAAAGAACGTGCTCTTTCCTTAGTTTTCTCATACTTGCACGTCGAAAGCGTGTGCTCACGTTATAGGGCTTGAGTCTAAAAAAAGTGTTATCAGATTAAATCTCGCATAACATGTTCTACTAAGAATTATATATTTATTTACTTCAGTATTCTGTCCATTGATGTATGTTGGAAAGAGGTATCAGTGGTAATGTATAATATACAGTAGTTTATGTTAATGAAATAATAGGAAGAACTTTAAAAACACTTTAAACACTAGTTTAGAACATCTGCACTATTTAGACACGCAGACATGGTGACGATCATCAGACAGATTCATGTTGCACTGCATTCTGGGTGCACCAATCATAACTCATCCATGGCTCCCAGCATGCATTGCGACATGAATAAATTATGCAGCTGCATTGTCTTAGTATTTTCTTTAAATTTTTACTTTTTGCTTTTATTTTTGTTATTTTTTTGTTGTGACTTTTCACTGCCTTGTTTTGTGACGTTCAAAAATCACATAAAAATGATCAGAAAATTTTGTCACCATTGCTGAGATTCACATGCTGATTCTTCATGTCTATGAGTGCCTCTTGATGAACCATATTTATAAAAGTTCTTAATGAAGGTGTTCTGACATTGCCATTAATATAGCTATATAAATGTATATATAAAAGTATTACAACAATATCAAAATCATTAAAGCACTACAGTTTTAGATAAATTGCTATCAGAAACGCAGACACACAAAATTATTTTACCTTAAGTTCCTTCCCATCACATGTGTTTAATACACACAAGTGTTCCGTTTTAGATACTCCAGAAATAAAGTCTAACTGGTTAGTAATGTGTGAAGCTGGTGATGCTGTTTGTGGAGATGATTAATCATCTTCTGCTGAGATCTTGAGAGATTTAATGTCTTTTTTTATTTCAGTTGATTTAATCTAAGGCTGTGGCTGAAGTCAGTTGTAGTTCTTGTGTTTCTCTTTTCTTCAGTGATTCTGCTTGTTAACAGCAGCTGTTCATTACTAATGATCAATCAGCACTTAATTAATCATATAATTATCTCATTAACTTTAACACTCTTTTAGAGTGGGGCCATATATGCTCCGAGCAGTGATAATTTAACACTAGGGAATTTACTGTGTAGTAATTTAAAGCTTTCTATATATTTTTATCATGTCTGTGAGGCAATTCTCTGAGTTTACGTTCATCATTGTGAAGTGCTTCTGCTCAAGACCGAGACGGTAGAAAGCATTTGTTTTCTTTATTTTAAAAATAAAAAAAAACATTTTGTTGATATTGTGAGTGCACACAAATAAAACTAGACCATTTACTGTTTAGAATGATGCATTACTATTTCCTTTATGAGCAGACATGATTGTGTATTTTAAGTTGTTTTCAATGTTAGAAAAAATGCAAGTGATCACGCTGGCGCCTCCATGTGCTGCAGAGCTTCAGTTTCCACTCTCTGGACAAACAACTGGATATAGCGCACATTTATCTAGGTTTAACATTTAAACTAAAATTGTGATATGCTTGAACTGAGGCAAGTGTGATGATTTGAGAAGGCTAAATTGATAAAACATATGATCAATTCAATGTCTGCCTCTGGCTGTTTGGTCGTTACTTAAAAAAACTGACAAAAAAAACCCACACACACATTTAACTTACATTTAACGAACAAAAAATGTTCCAAATGTTTTTCTAAATTAAATTTATAAAAAAAACTAAACAAAATATAATTCCTTTTCCATTACTTACAAAACTGAACTATTTTAATAGCTGAAACAGTAGTATAAGCTTTTTTTGGGAAAAGGGGAAAAAAGACTGGCTAGGGCCAATATTTTAATTCCTGCTTTGATTCCAATAAAATACTTAAAGAGTGCAGACCAACCTTTGTAATACGTTGTTATTAAAAATCTAAATATAAAATATAAAAATATGTCATTTAAACATCTCGTCATTACGACTGAGAGGAAAAAATATGTATGTGGCAGGAAATGCCTTACCGTAATAACCCATATAGTGGACA